TGTTTCGCGCCAAGAATAGCTTGAAGCACCGCCATCATCCCTATATAAATAGAGGGGTTGGGCTCCACTCTACAAGACAACAGAAAGAGAGCAACGAAGAGAGGGAGAGTTTCATTTTTGCTTAGATTTAGCTAGAATAAGGGTGGAGTGAGTGAGGAAAGAGTTAGAGAAGTGCCGGGGCTGTCGGCAACCTCCCTTAGTGTACTCGCTACGCTTAGTGGAAGCGTGTCGGAGCTAGGTACTCCTCCGCTTGTACCTCTACGAGCAACTTACTACTTGAAGTAAGAAGTTCGTGTTTAACTTTGGCATTGATATACTAAGAAAGCTACCTTTGTTGATTATAAACTTGTGGGTTCGTCATCCGTCCTTGTGGCAGGAACTCAAGTAGAAGGGTCCTGATAGAGACGGATAACCCTTGTATGCATGCTAGAGTAATAGTCTATAGTGCAGACGTGGTGTGTAGACTAGAAGCTATCTTCGTTTACCTTGTTCCCCATGGTTCAAGGGTAGGCGACAGGTGGTGACAGCCTTGTCCGTCCCTCGTATTCCCCAGCATTCGGGTTTGATGTAGGCTATAGGCCGGCCTCGCCTGGCAGACCAGGTGTGATCCGGTGCCCAAAACAAGTCTATAGTCTTAGAGTTATCTTCGCTTAGGATATCTATCCTTAGAAAAACCTCACTACCCAAGCTACCTTTCTCTTGTTTTCTTTAGGTGAACTAGCTAAGAGACTCGCACATCCGTTCCTTTGGAAAAATACGATACCCTGAATATCTCCGGGTGAAGTGCTACAACGGTGTATCCGTGCGCTTGCGGATTCCTCTGCTTGCATTAAGAAACACCAACAAGCATTTCTGGTGCCGTTGTCGAGGAACGATTGTCGTTTTAGTCTTCGAACCTAGTCACCTGTGTATCTTTTATTTTACCTTTCTTTTTATTCTTTTCCAATGGAGCACAAAACAATTCACCAACTTTCTGCTCCCAAGGGTGAGTTCTTAGAGCCACCACAATCCTCAAAGCCAATCATAGCTTCTAGCTATGAACTCCGCCCTAGCTTTATAGCCATGGTTTGGGAACAAACCATCTTGGGGTTCGATTACGAAAACCCCTACCATCACCTAAGGGAGTTTGAGCAGCTTTGTGCTTGCCTGACCATTTTCAGGCATGTCACAAGACACACTTCGGTGGAAGTTGTTTTCCTTCTAACTTGACGAGAGGGCGAAACAATGGTATGCCCATAATGTAGGAAAAGGTAGCTGTTGATTAGGAAGAATTAAGGAACAGATTATGTCTTGCATTCTTCCCTATATCCCGAATCGCTGCCCTATGATAAGAGATCCTCAATTTCCAACAAAAAGAGAAGGAAACCATAGGAGCAGCCTAGGACAGATTTTCAATCGTAACACGCTCTGGCCCAGACTTGTCTATACCCAACCATGTGTTGTTACAACATTTTTGGTTAGGGCTTAGCAAGGAGCCTCGCCTGGCAGACCAGGTGTGATCCGGTGCCCAAAACAAGTCTATAGTGTTAGAGTTATCTCCGCTTAGGATATCTATCCTTAGAAAAATCTCACTACCCAAGCTACCTTTCTCTTGTTTTCTTTAGGTGAACCAACTAAGAGACTCGCACATCCGTTCCTTTGGGAAACTATGGTACCTTGAATATCTCTGGGTGAAGTGCTACAACGGTGTATCCGTGCGCTTGTGGATTCCTCTGGTTACGCTAAGAAACACCAACAATATCCTACATATATGCTTAAGTCCATCACCAAACATAGGTCTAGGGGTTTAAACTAATGGATTCCACAAGCTTTGGTGAATATTTGTATGTGGGAGAATTTATCCAGAAAATAGCTCTGAACCGCTGTCATATACTCCAAACAAGCCAACTAATGACAACATGTGATTCAACTAACGAAAACTGCAAAAGGCAACTCAAGACGGAGTCTAGGAACCACCACACAAAGAGGAGGCCCACTTGCCAAAGTGGTGGGCTGGCCGGCCTAGTGGGGAGGCCGCCTGGCCCACTTCGGAGCCCATTCGCTCTCCGCCACCTCGTATGTGTTTCCGAGATCTACACCGTTAATTTTAAGGTGGTTTTAAGTCGGTTCATCCAACGATGATCGAGGGAGTTGACGTGGATTGATGACGTGGCAATGCCATGCCCCCTACTCCATATCCCCTATATAAGGTGCCCCCTACCCTCTCTAGGAGGCCATCTCTCATTCAGATCAAGATACACCACAAGAGAGAAATCCCCACAAAGCTCTTAAAATATAGAAGTAGAATAGCTCTAGTTGAGAGTTAGGGAGAGTTTAGCCATGCTTAGGTTCTAGAGAAATCTTCAGTGGTTGGGTATATCTTTGTATCTCACCTTTGCAAAACTTATGCTTTAATATAGTTATCTTCTCTATCTACTTTTATGCCTTTCATGTGCATGGTTAGTATAGTTATCATACCTTAGCATGGGATCTCCGCACGCATCGAGTGCTTTAGTTATCATAAGTGACTAGAGTAGTAATTCGTAGTATAGACATGATGTCTAAACTATAGGTTACCTGAGATTGCGCTCAGTCCTATGGTTAGTTGTGGTAGCCCCAGAGCTGACAGATTTGTCAAGCCGTTGTAATCCACCGCGTTCGGATTGGTGTTCGTAGAGCTTTAGGCGGCCTTCCCCCAACTACGCTTTCTCATCCCCCTCGAGAGTTGGAAGGTACTGTTACTCCAAAGTGTTATTGTGTGTGATCGCTATATCTACCTATGAATTAGTTATACCCTATAGAACCAAAGTAATTGAGAAGTATTTAGGAACCTTGAACTCACCCGCTGTCCTCTCAACTTAGCTAAACCGCTCATTTATTATGTAATTCTCCTATGTGTGTGTTATTATTCATAACTCTTATCATTATCAATACTTACCCCCACTTTAGTTTAGTCGGTATACTAGTTAGTAGATGCATGATGGTGAACTATCAACTTCTTGAACCATTATTTCCCTATGGATAAATACGATACCTTGGAATACTCCTAGGTGAAAGCTACAGCGGTATCCGTACGCTTGTGGATTTATATGAGTGCATTAAATATACCAACAGACAACGAGAGATCATAGGACTCCTATGTTTCTAACTCTACTCATGTAACTTAACCAAATCACACAATTGAGACACACAGATTGGTACCTCACTACAAGTATGCCAGGCGATAGGTGAGACAATAGGGGATGAAACCCTATTCGAAGCGGCTACCTTTTTATCGGGGTCCTACCTTTTAAGAACTTGTCTACAACACGTGGTAGACTGCAAAGGCTAGACAGGGTAGTCACCATCTGCTAGCTACCACAAACTATCCGTGCGACAAGCGATAACCAAAGGCAAGATCGTGTATAAGCACCACGCTTACACCTTCTCTCACTACTCTAGCTGTAATTACGAGGTCAACTAAAGCACCTTGTGATAGGTGATGATCGCGATATAGGTGTGTTTCCAAGATCACAATCTAGTGTATAACAACTCTATGACCAGATAAGCCACAACAATACTATAACTTGTATAATATTGCACAAAGAAAAGACTAAGTAAAGTAGAGAAATAGTAATATATTGAATAAGGTAAAGCCTTACAAAACAAAGGAAACGGTACAAGAGCTACACCAGACTCTCCAGAAGACAGCTCCGGAAGACTTTAATAAATTAATGTTCGAGAGTGAAAGCTACGTGGTATAGGATATAAATTAATCATGTTCATTGATGGATGAGATCATAGATCCCAAAGGCGCGTACTACTATGACAGAAAAGAAATATTAACGAGTAGCTATACGACTGAATATTAGAGTTGAATGCCCAAGGACATGACTACAAGCTTTTTGTGACTTTATTAAGTACATATTCCATGCATGTATAACCTCTTGAAATATTTGTATATATATATAGTTTCATACATTTTAGTGTGTTATTAGCAGCGTAGAATTAGTATACGAAAAGCTAATTGAAACAAAAAGAATTGAATTGAAAACAAACCATAAAATGAAAGGAAAGAAATGGAAAAAAGAACCTTTAGTACCGTTTAGAAACACCAACCGGAACTAAATGTGTCAGTCCCGGGGCAAATTCTGCGGGTCCATTTAGTCTCGATCGGTAATAGCAACCAGGACTAAAGGTGGATCCATAATCCTAGTTGGGAAACCGGGACTAAAGAGGGTTTTCCAACCGGGACTGAAGCCCACTTGTGTACTAGTGTTTTCACATATGAAAAACATAAGATTTTTCTTTTGTTACTTGTGTTTTCAGTTGACCTCTGGTGAATATGGCAGACAATGTTTCAAGGACATATGTTTTCTTTCTGACGTTACTTTATTTGTATCAATCTCATGGAATAATGAACTTTATTGACGATGGCCACGGTGTCAGATCAGCTCCCCATGGATTGGACACCTGTAATATCTTTGCCTTCCTGAAAAGGGGCGGGCACCCGGCCCGTCGCAACACTTCGAGCATATAATGCTTAACATGCCAAAGTAGCAATGGATCATTAAGGAATCAATCAGGAAGAGTATAAACAAATGAGTCATGTGTCTCGCCCAGTCATCCTTTCCAGAATGACCTAGAGCGCCCGTACGTCGTCGGCCGGTAACGTACGTGGCGCCGACAGAGCCGCGTCTTATGCACACGTCGTCTCTCCTGCGACTTCACATCCACGATAACCCATACCTGCCCAGAGACTATGCAAGCACAGGTACCCCCCCTACCTTGGGTCCGTGGCTTCTCTAACTTTTTTTTCTAAACAAAATACTGATGGCCGATCTTCCTCCGATATAAATACCCGTCAAACCTTCCACTGCATGGAACACATCTCAACGAAAAGTAGTCTATAAGGGAGAAAGGGACGAGAGTGTCGAGCGGCGAAGTAGATAGCTAGAATGGAGTACCAGGGACAGCACGGTCATGCCACTAACTAAGGCAACGAGTACGGCAACCCGGTCGCCGGCCACGGTGCCACCGGCATGGGAGGCCACGGTGCTGCCGGCGAGCAGGTCCAGCCTATGAGGGACGACCACAAGACCGACGGCCTCCTGCGCCGCTCTGGCAGCTCCTCCAGCTCAAGCTCGGTACGTTCCCGCGCCTCTCTAGCTAGCGCATGCAATCTCGCATCGTGTGTATCGGGAATTAATGGGTCTGATGACATCATTCATGCAAAAAAAAAAAACGACAGTCTGAGGATGACGGCATGGCCGGGAGGAGGAAGAAAGGAATCAAGGAGAAGATCAGGGAGAAGCTCCCCGGAGGCCACAAGGACAACAACCGGGAGGACACGGCCTCTGGGAAGCAGGGACACGTCGGGATGATAGCCACTGGTGGGCACGTATCGAGGGAACCGGAGAAAAGAAGGGCCTCATGGACAAGATCAAGGACAGACTTCCGGGGCAGGACTGAGCTATCTTGTTCATGTTCAACGGTAGGCGGACGTGAATGCTGGCTCAACTTCATCCAACACGGTCTTCTAGCAGATCCATCGCTTAAATATCATAACAATAAATGGTCGTCTAGTATGACGGCATCAGCGTTTCGTTGTTTTGTACTTATATATATATATATATATATATATATATATATATATATATATATATATATATATATATATATATATATATATATATAGGGAGAGTATATTCAGTAGCCAGCTACAAAATAAGTTATTCTGTAGCCACCTCCATTTACGATAATTTTATATACTAATTTACGATAATGTTAATACATATTTACGATAGTTGGGTTACTATAACATACGGGGATATTTACCATAACGTTAGAGTAAACCACTTAGCAAGGAGTTACTATAATCTTGTAAATTAACATAGTAATTATCGTAACTCAAAGTAGCTATAGAATAAATTATTTTGTAGCCAGCTACAGGGTACTAGTTCTATATATATATATATATATATATAGTTATGATATATATTACCATGGGTACTGATTATTCAGTACCTGAGTCCGAATCACCGACCCCGAGCGTCGAGCGTTTCCCACACGGATTCCCCCGCTCCCACCTCGGACCGGGCCGACCACGGGCGCTCCCCACGCCGGTTCACCCACGAGCTCGAGCTGGTATGCTGCTCCGACGCTCCCCACCCACGCACGATTCTTTTTTTTTGCGGACTTGCGGTTTCTATTCCCCCACACAATCCGCTCGGTCTCCTCTTTCCCTCTCTCCGCCGGCACCGCCCGTCCGACCCCTCTCCATACCACCGCTGTATTGCCACTGCCTCCACCGCGCCGCCCGCATAGCGCCGTGCGTCCGCATGCGCCGCCTGGCCAGGCGTTCTCGGCTGCCTTTCCCCAGTGTGCCATTCGGCCTCGCGCAGGGGAGGCGTAGGCACCGACGGCGGCCCGTCTCTTCCATCACCGGCGCAGCTGCTGCCGTCCCTTCCCCGATGGCGTGGGCCCCGCCCTTTCTCCGATCCGCAGCGGGCGCTGCCCTCCGCTTTCCCGATCCACGGCGGCGCGGCCCCGCCGCTTCCCCGACCCACAGCTGCGACGACGTCCTCTCCCCCACCGGTGGCGGCGCTGGCGTGCCCCTCCAAAGCAGATCCGGCCATGTCGCACCTCCCCTCCCGTCCTTCGGTGACGGCGACGTCAGACAGCCTCCTTTGCCGCCTGGTCTCCGACGGCTTCACGCTCTACCCTCTCCGCAGTCTATACCTCGCCTCCCAGGTACCGATGGCTCCTCTTCTTGCCCTTGTTGTCGCACTGGCCTTGATTTCTGCGTGTCTTGTCTTCTTCACTTCCCCTGCAGTGCAGGAGCTTGGGCGGCGTCCATTGAGCTTAGCTCAGCAGTGGTGTATGACACATCAGTGCACCTGAGGGGTGAGCAGAAGGACGTCAAGCAGCTGCTCAAGGTGAACAGCCTTGTGAAAACATGAAATACTTCCATATTTGTACAGTGTAATTCGCTTTTCTTATTTTGATTGTTTCATGTTTTGTTCTGTATTAGTGTCATGGATTTCTTCAGTAAACACAACCATGAGGACAAAATTGTGAGCTTCACATAAGCCTTTGTGCATACTCTCCTTATTCTAAATTGTTCCATATGATGTTGCGCACGGTGCAGGTAAGCCAGGGCAGAGGGCAGATCCAGCAGGTCCCTGGTCTGGTTGGAGCATTGAAAGCGTGGCTGCACGGACTTCCTCTCCGATCTTCCTTGGTTTGATCCTTCTGATGAACTCCCCATTGAGTATTGATGTGCAAGGTGCCCATTAATTAGCAATATCTGAATCCCAAATATTTTGTTATATTTTGCTCATAGATCTGATGATTTTTTGTGTAGGTGTAGAAAAGAACCGACAAGCAGAAGCACAACTAGCTCATCCTGATGGTAGTTAGAATGGAAGCACCAAATATGTATGATCAATCTCTTTCTCACTGTTCTCTTTCTCGATTTATTTTTGCGGACGATGCAAGGTGTTGTGAGCAAAAGATATCTACTTACAGTATTACACTATTAGTTCAGTTGATTAATCAATCTCTTTCTATTACAATGTTTTGTAAATTAAATGATCATGGATGTGGCAATGCTGGCTAGCTCCACGTTAATTAAGCGATTTCATACTTGGGTGTTTTTCACTATAGAGGTGCTGTGTAATGCACTCTCTGAAATTAATGTGTCAATTCTTTTTTTTCTTGATTCTAAATCAAATAGCTTTTTTCTTGGGCTTGTTGTATCATGCAATCTACAGCTGATAATACTATGCATATGCGCCTTCTTTTCTTTTGAGTAAACCACACCGTCAACTGAACTTACTCCCCAACCAGGTCCATGGCTGGATGTTGTGCATGATCCAGTGAGGGTACATCCGGCACCCCCTAGTTCAACCATGTTAGTTGAAGACCCCCCTCGTCTACAGGGTGTCAGGGTGAGTGTTGTGTGGCATGGCGAGATCGCCGAAGGCCATAGGCCACACCCAACGGCATCTGGCAGCTATGCCACATCTTCATCACCTTATGCTTTGTGACCGCTTCTTGCTTTGCCTCAGGATAAGCCTTCTGTTAATGTGCCTGTTTTCTTTATTACTGCAGTTATGAGTTGTTTTCATTCATAAAAATGGTACATGGTAATATATGTAATTCCAATAAAATCATCTCAGTTCATGTTTGGTTAGTTTTGTTGCATCGTGACAGCATCTCTTCATAAATTGTGTATATTAAGTTCGGTCCTATTAATCTAGGGCAAGGTTGATCTAATGGCTTCTGTTTTCAGTTATATAGAGATATAACAATTTTCTTTCCATGTCTGTCCTAGATTGTTTAGGTAAATAATTTGTGTACTTTCCCTTCCAGTTCTAGACTAGACTCTTCAGTTCACAGGCTTAACAAGGAGATTCAAACTGCTATTTTGATAGACTTAATCACATTAGTAAAGAACATGGTGTTATGTACTTGGACCTAATCTTCTTTTGCCATTAAAATTGATTATATGAAGAACACATGTTGCTCATTTGTCAGATAAACAGACTTATGTCTGAATTTATTCTTAGTCATAACAAATCATTTGTTCCAGAAAACAGTTGGTCATAGGAATCGTAGCCTGCTACGTGACAATAAAAAGTATTTTTTAGAAACACATTCCACAGTATGATTCATTAATAAAATTATAATTGAGTGGATTCACTTATTTAGTGGACTACTGATTCCGAGACACAAGAGTTAGTACTATGATTAATTTTTTTACATTATAAGTGACTGCTGTGATATAGTAACTATTTTTTACTAGTTAGCAGCTCCTTTTTTGCTCAATGCATAAGCATGGCAAATTAAAACTTCAACTTGATCATTACTGCAGCTAGAGTTTGGTCAATTTCGATTGAAGATCCAGCTATCCATGTAGTTATGCGTCGGAGACTTCACTTAATGAACTTTTATCTTTTCTGATTTGTCAAATAAACTGACTCTTGTCATAGTGGGTTTTTGGTAGTCATGTTGCTATGGCCATGAAGTTCAGGTGCTGAATAAGCAGGCGTGATGGGCTGATGGCCAAGTGAGACATCCATTTTTCCATGTTGGTGCGCTCCAGGTAATTTTGTCTTGGAGTCTTGCCCTCATTGACTCTGTCTTCCTCTGTGCTGTAGTAAACTTTGATTTCTTTACCTTTTTTGACTGTGCTATGCTGGTTTCGGTTTTGTAAGAGACAAATCCATTTAAAGAAATATATATTCATTATGAGGTAATGCAAATGAGACAGGGAGATGGGGGGAGTGGCGTATGCCCCATTTTCCTATTCTTCTCGGCCAATGAATTAATAGTGAATATTGTTTTGTTCTTGCTTGTTGTATCTTACAAGTTTCAGCTACAACATTACAATTATGCAATTGCATTGTCTTGATTATTGTATGCCACTAAAATCCATTGTGTATTCATGCCCTCCAATCCGTCGTGTATTCCTGCCCTCTCCAAATTTGTTGCTAGGATGATTCATACATGCAGCTCAACTAGCACTTCACTGCATTTGGGGAAGTTCTTTTGTTTTATATTTCTTCCTTTCCAACTAGACTTCAGGTATGGGAAGATGCACAAATTGATTTGTTTTGGAGTTGTTAGCAAATGAGTTTTATGTGAGAAATCAGACAAACATTATTTCAAATTTTTTTTTTTGCAAACAATGGCCGAAGGATAAGAAGCTAGAACTGATAGTAATACTAGAAATAGTATTACTTGTTTTGCCTTTGCTGCATAAGTATTCAAATAATACAAACTGTAATCCATAAGAGAGAAACACAAGTTCCCTAGAAGGGCATTTTGATCAGCACCTTTATATAGATAAGTGACAAGTGCATGGTTTCATTCATATTTGGTCCAACAGTTCAGAATGGGTGCCTAGATTATTTTTTTTGCTAGTAGAACTACATAGGCGACCTGCAGTATTAGTAATTCGGGGTTTTTGATGTGATACTGCGATGGTCGTATTGTATGATGATTAATTAGGCAACTTAAAAAAACTAGACTTGTAAGATAAAAAACAGAGTAAATTAATGAGATTAGAAACATAGCTTAGATTGCATCCCTATTTGCATATGCTTGCATCTGGTATGGATCCATTAATATATTGGCCTGATGTGTACATACATGCATGTACAAAAATCAGGGTATTACCAACTAGTGTGGTTTAATACTAGCATTTCTTTTTGAATATTCTTCCCCTGTTTTACATGGCATCTCAGTGTATAGCTAACATATGTATCTCTTCATTTTTTTCAATGCAATCATTCATCAATGTGGGAATCTAATCAGTAATCAAACATGATTCCTGTCTTAGACCTGCTAAACTTGAACTCTAAAGACTCCATATAGAATTTCTTGAAACATATGATTACATAAAAATAGTACACAAAAGAGTAAATTATGCTAGTACTTTTTGATCGAACATTTGTTTTCAGGCTACCTTAGTATATCATATCTTCCATGCAAATTGAGCTATTTTGTGGTGCTTTTCAAATTAAACTGCAAATCACTCACATTTTCCTTGTGGCTTAAACAGGACGAAGGTTGACTGAGAGAGAAGCCTTGAACTTTGCCTTGTGGAGCTGGCTCTGACTGACAGATCATAGATGTTGCCTACTAGGACCACAGCCTTGATTAGAGCTGTACCTTGAAGTAGCCATGCCCTCCCAACTTGTTGTTTCTAGTAATGTAAATGTAAACAGGTTTGGGTGCATGTTTATAGACCAGCCGTGATTTTTTATATCACTTGGTGGGTATGTGTCCTAGTAATGAAAAATGAAATTCGGTCTGTTTGTGGTGGAAAATAATTGTGCTCTATATATTTGATTTCAAAGTTCAGATTATGACAAATTTGTGCCAATCGAATGGGCATTGATAGTCGATTTTCATGCCAAGCAAATCTAAGATGTATAGATTATTTGTACAATAATAAAACCAATCAATATCTGTTAGTAATGTGACCACTTTACAAAAAAAAAAGTTCAGAAACCTGCCATGCAAGTGTCACGGGCAAAAAAAAAATCTGTCGACAAAAAAAATCAGTTTGGAAACCTGCCTGGCGACTCTAACGAGCGGCAAAAAAAAACCCAAAAAATCGGTCCACAAAAAAAATTGGCATGGAAACCTGCCTGGCGACTAGTATGGTTTTTTTAAATGGTGCGGGCGGACAGTCTTGTAGCGCTTGCGTCGGGAAAAAAGGGAGGTGAGCAGCGGGAGCGTGCCGGCACGCTGCGTGCGTGGAAGGAGTCGGGTACTGAATAATAATCAGTACCCTAGGTACTAACTAGCGCAGTCCTATATATATATATATGACAAGGCTAAAATACACCTGGGTGCATTCTGTGCAGTAAATGCACCCGACCGCGAGCGCGAGACGCGCGGAGCGCAGCGAGCACGAGGTAAGTCCACGCTCCTGCATGCAAAACTAAATGGAGACAACTAACTACGTGATGCCACCTAACAGCTCAACCCACCATTCCAGGAAGCATACATGCAGGGAAACTTTTATTGATTCCAAACGAAAAATGTGATATTTTCTAAACCACAGATCGGATTTTAGATCTGTTTGAAGTAGGTTGTTGAAAAAAAATATGCTTAATACAACGAGATTCATGAAGGCTGTATTTGATGAAGTTTTTTTTCAAATACTTAATTGCAATATATTGTACTATGAGTTGCAAGCACTTCTACAACACAATTATAACTTAGCTGTAGCGTATTTAGCAATGGTTGCAATGAAGGCTGTATTTGATGCAGTTTTTTTTTTCAAATACGTAATTGTAATATGTTGTACTATGAGTTGCAAGCACTTCTACAACACAATTGCAACTTGGCTGTAGCGTATTTAGCACTGGTTGCAATGAAGGATGTATTTGATGAAGTTTTGTTTTTCAAATACGTAATTGCAACATGTTGTACTATGAGTTGCAAGCACTTCTACAACATAATTGCAACTTGGCTATAGCGTATTTAGCACTGGTTGCTATGAAGGCTGTATTTGATGAAGTTTTTTTTTTCAAATACGTAATTGCAATATGTTGTACTATAAGTTGCAAGCACTTCTACAACACAATTGCAACTTGGTTGTAGCGTATTTAGCACTGATTGCAACTCAAAGTTGTAACTTGGCGTGATTATAGTGACCAGATGCATATAATACATAGAGTTATAACTAGTTGCAACTAGGTGGTAGACAGAGTTGCAATCGGTAGTACA